GAGGAGGAGGAGGAGGAGGAGGAGGAGGAGGAGGAGGAGGAGGAGGCGGCGGCGGAGGCGGAGGAGGAGGAGGAGGAGGAGGAGGAGGAGGAGGAGGGGCCAAAATTCGGCGCCGGAGGTCCGAGCCTTCGAGGGCCCCCAAAGGGGGGGGCCTCCGGCGGGCTCGCGGGTCGGCGACGTGGGCCGGCTCGTTGCCCAGGCGGCCGCCGAGTTGCAGAAGGCGCCCGCCCGTCCGAGCCGCGGGTCTATCGATTAGACGTGCGCAGATGGGCACAGATGGGTCTCCAGATCTTTCGCCGTGATGGTCCCCAGATGGGCACAGATGGGCACAGATGGTCTATCGCCGTGACCTTTGGTGTGGGCACAGATGGGTCCCCAGATGGCTGAACACGAAGCAGGAGCAGCGGCTTGCGCGCCCAGGTTTGGTCCCCCCGCGGCCCCTAAAAAGCCGCGCACCAAAGGTCACCCTTACCCAGGGTCACTCTTGCGTGTAGCCGACATGCGGTCAGGAGTTTTGGCTTAGCGTGTCGCGCCGCCGATTCTGGCCACCACGCCAGCGTGTGGGCCAGAACCGGCGGCCAGCGGCTTCGGCACGCCACCGTCCCCGGGCGTCAACGTCCCGAGCCTCTCCGAGCCTCCCGCCCCGCGAAGCGGAGCGAACGCTATCCGCTCGCAGGGCATCGCGTGTCGCCGGGGCCGCCGCTGCGACACGCTAAGCAAAAAGACCCGACCCTAGGCCTCTCAGATCACTGCATGGGGATCTGGGTTTTTCAGTCTCAGCATTTTTCCTCGAGTTCGGCCTCTAGGGCCCGACATCGGTCCCGGGGACCATGAAATAATAGATCCTAGCTAAGGACCCAACCATACGCAGCTGTTTATACCGCCTTGCGGGTACCAGTTTCGGTGGAGCTCCCTCTGAGGCCACGAAGCGTGTGAGGGGTGTTCCGAAATGGGGCGGCGGTGCCATGCGGACCCTGCCACTTGGGTCTTCGGTAGAGCTCCCTATAGGCCACGAATCATGTGAGGGGTGTGCCGAAATGGGGCGGCTGTGCCATGCGGACCCTGCCACTGGGGCCTTCGGTAGAGCTCCCTAAGGGGCCACGAACCGTGAGAGAGGTGTGCCGACATGGGGCGGCGGTGCCATGCGGACCCTCCCGCTGGGGCCTTCGGTGGAGCTCCCTATGGGGCCAAGAAGCGTGTGAGGGATGTGCCGAAATGGGGCGACGGTGCCATGCGGAGCCTCCCGCTGGGGCCTTCTGTGGAGCTCCCTATGGGGCCACGAAGCGCGTGAGGGATGCGCCTAGTAAGCGTGGAACTGCATTCGGACCCTGCCACCGGGGCCCTCGGTGGAGCTCCCTGTGGGGCCACGAACCGTGTGAGAGATGTGCCGAAATGGGGCGGCGGTGCCATGCGGACCCTTTCACGGAAGCCATGCGGACCCTTTCACGGACCCATGTGGAGCTCCCTATGGGGCCACGAAGCGTGTGAGGGGTGTGCCGAAATGAGGCGGCCTTTGGTGGAGCTCCCTATGGGGCCACGGAACGTATGAGGGGTGTGCCGACATGGGGCGGCGGTGCCATGCGGACCCTCCCGCTGGGGCCTTCGGTGGAGCTCCCTATGGGGCCACGACGGGGGGGGCCGAAATGGGGCGGTGGCGCCATGCGGACCCTTCCACGGAAGCCTGCGGTGGAGCTCCCTATGGGGCCTCGAAACGTGGGAGAGGTGTGCCGAAATGGGGCGGCGGTGCCATGCGGACACTCCAGCTGGGGCCTTCGGTGGAGCTTCCTATGGGGCCACGAAGCGTGTGAGGGGTGTGCCGAAATGGGGCGGCTGTGCCATGCGGACCCTCCCGCTGAGGCCTTCGGTGGAGCTCCCTGTGGGGCCACGAACCGTGTGAGGGGTGTGCCGAAATGGGGCGGCTGTGCCATGCGGACCCTCCCGCTGGGGCCTTCTGTGGAGCTCCCTGTGGGGCCACGAACCGTGTGAGGGGTGTGCCGAAATGGGGCGGCGGTGTCATGCGGACCCTCCCGCTGGGGCCTTCTGTGGAGCTCCCTGTAAGGCCACGAAGCGTGTAAGGGGTGTGCCGAAATGGGGCGGCGGTGCCATGCGGAGCCTCCCGCTGGGGCCTTCGGTGGAGCTCCCTATGGGGCCACGAAGCGTGTGAGGGGTGTGCCGAAGTGGGGCGGCTATGCCATGCGGATCCTCCCGCTGGGGCCTTCGGAGGAGGAGGAAGGAGGACGGAAGGCGGGGCACCGCCTTTTCAAAACAAGGACCCACCACCACAGGATGGTTGGGAAATATGTCCAGGACGCCAAACTACCCCCGGGGAAGTGGTCGGGAGGTTTGGGGCCGCGGATTCCAAAAATATATCGGAGGATGCCAAGGGGCCTTGTAGGATCCTTTCGCCGTGAGAAAAAATCGCGCCGGGAGATGTTCGTTTACCGTTTTCGCTCCTGGGGGCCTCTACTCTTGCCAGCCTGTTGATGTCAGAGCAGATGATGGCGGAGGATCGCGACGCATCGACGACGCATCGGCGATGTGGCTCGATGTGGAGCCTGATTTCCCTACGCCGATGTCGCCGATGCAGTGGGAACGCATCGGTGATGCTGCGGTATCCTCGTACCCATCCTCTCATACCCCAGTTGGGAACCCTCTAGTATTCGCCTCCTGGGACCGCGAGCGTCCTTGCCGAGGACCCCATGGATCCCTCAGGATGCACGGCCATTTTTGCTCGCTTGCCGAAGCTTCGAGAGCACACTTCAATCGAGACGTGCCAGGTCTCACCGAGGGGGGGCGGGATCAGCACGAGTCGTTCTCCAGGCGCGGAGAGCAAGCACCCGCGAAGGCACAGGTGATCGTGCACCAGTGCCCACGGTACGACACCCCCGGAGGCCCCTCCCACACTACGCCTTGCTCTGGAAAACTGTGGGCGTTGGCCGACACGTCTCAAGGGAGGAGAAGCCACCGGGACCTGGCAGCTGACGTTTACTAAGCGACCCTGGGCGTTTGTTAAACAGACCTGCCATGTTCGAGTCCTTCCGTTGGTGCGTTTATGAAACGGCTTCGCTTGTCGGGGTGATTCTTATGGGTGGGGGGGATTCTCTGCCCTCGAACACTGGCCGATCTCCAGCACCTCTGGGCTGCTGGGGCCGACGGCGCAGGGGACGACGCTGCGGGATTTGGCCCCAGACCTGTGCCGGCGGCGCGCCCAGGGCGGAAGGCGGCGGGTGCGCGAGCCTCCCCCCGGAAGGCTCGGAAGGCCCCCCCCCCCTCCGGCCTTTGCGGCGCTTGCTGTGAGCGTTCTCCGAGGCCAGAGATCGGGACGATCGGAGTGGGTACGGAAAGAGCGGGTTGCGAAGACCGACGGCAGGTCCTGTGCATTCCGAGCAGGACACGCTGTCCGCGCCGCTGCGGACCTTATTCGCTGAAGACAGAAAGCCGCCTGCCCCACAGCGGCCGCTGTCGGTTTGGGACAATATTTGCTGTTGGGCATTGTACCCATGTTTTCCGTACCCACCTCGGGCGTCCAACAGAGAGGGCTTCTCAGAAGGCTGGAGGGCTTCTGAGAAGCCAGGCCGCGTCTGAGGAGGCCTGCCCCCACTCCCTTCCCCCCTCGGCGTGTCGCCGACTGCGTCTCCAGAGGGGCTGGACACCCTCGTGCTGCCTACTCGCCTTTTTGGCGAGCGCCGTCGACGTCGAACAGGGCAGGCGGTGCCCGCGGGCAGATGTCTGTTCTGGCGTGGCAAGCTCCAGGCGCAGGAGCAACTGCTTGGCGCCAGGGCTGGTTTTGCCGATGGAGCTTTCTATTTTGGATTGGGCAATCATCGCCCCCCCTCCTTGTATCCGCTGGGGGGGTTGGGCACGTGCTGTCGCCACGGGTGGAGGGGGGGGGGGGGGGGAGGAGGAGGAGGAGGAGGAGGAGGAGGGGAGGAGGAGGAGGAGGAGGAGGAGGAGGAGCAGGAGGAGAGGAGGGCAGGAGGAGGAGGAGGAGGAGGAGGAGGAGGAGGAGGAGGAGGAGTAGGAAGAGGAGGAGGAGGAGGAGAAGAAGGGCGAGGAGGAGCAGAGGTGGGTGGGGGGGGATGGGCAAGCTCCGTCGGAAGGTTAGTCGACAACCCCTCGATTAATATCCCACCCAGGGTAGTCACCTCGAGCCGCAGATTGCAGCAGCGCGCGAGCAACATGGTCGGAAACTTTTGCTGATCGTGTCGCCCCGCCAGTTCTGACCCCACGACGCTTCGGCGCGCGACACGCTGACCGCGTCCCAGTCAGTCCTCGAGCGTGTATGTCCCGAGCTTGTCCCAGCCGCCCACCCGGCGGAGCGGAGCGACACGCTATCCACTTGCCGGGCAGATGAGGCGTGTCGCCAGGGCCGCCGCCGCGACATGCTAAGCAAAAGCTCCCGACCGTAGTTTCGTCGGTGGAGCTTTCCAGGCATCTCGAGCCGCAGGTGGCAGCAGTGGGCGAGCAGCGTACAGCCGAGATGCGGTGGCAACAGAACCCTGTCTCCACGTGCTGCAATTCGTTGCAGCCTGGGCTTGTGTCACGAGCGCTGGTCAGCGCGGCTTGCGTACCAACTGCGATGTGGGCGCGTCGGCCGCTGCACTGTGGGAGCTCATGTCGCGAGGAGGAAGGAATCAGGTGAGCATTGGCGTCTGCGTCAGTGGATCCCTGTCGCGTACAGGTTTCACTTAGATCCGATCGATCAGTTTCGGTGTCGACATCGGCCAGTTCGATCCCATTCGATCACGACGCGGTGGCAGGGAACACCTGGCTCCACGTGTTGCTTGTCGTTGCTGCCTGGGCTTGCGCCACGGGCGCTGGTCAGCACGGCCTGCACCAGCTGCGGCGTGAATAGTGGCAGCTGCTGCGCTGCGGGGGCACGTGTCGCGAGGAGGAAGCGTCTCCATCAATCCAAGCAGGTCCCAAGCCAGACATACTCGCGTCGTGAAGAAGAGCACGGCGTGAGCTTTTCGGCTGTGTTCCTCCCTGGGGAGCCCTTGCCAGGCCCTGGGGCAGCCAAAAACGATTCGGGATGAAAAACTTGGCCTAGGGCCTCGTGGGACCCCGTATTGAAACAATCGAGACAACAGATTTCTGGGAGGAAGAGAGCATGTGAGCCAGGGCAGGTACGTCGGAAGATCTGTGTCGAATTCAGTAGTCCACGTAGATCCGATCGAACCGATTCGTTATCGATCCGGGCAAGCGCGATCCCATTCGATCTGACAATATTCTGACGATCCGATGCGGCCAAATGGGTGTATGCTGCTGTTCTGCACCTTGGCGCAGCCTATCCGATTTGATTTCGGCTCCTTTCCGGTACAGCCTGATCCGACGTTCATTCCGACCCGATGCGATATTAATTCTGGTTTTCGAGATGTTCGGGTCCGACGGAGATGAAGAACGATGGGGGAGGGGGGAGGGGGAGGAGGGACGAAAAGGATGAAGAGGAAAACGAACGAGGATGATGAGGAGGAGGAAGGAGGAGGAAGGAGGATGCGGATGACGAGGAGGGAGGACGAGGGGAGGAGGGAAGGAAGTAGGAAGGAGGGACGGTTCGTCGGAGCTCGCCGGCTTCGGCCACACCTGTCACCCCAGAGGGGCGGCGCGCCCTGGGGGGAAGACGGAGGGGGCTGGCCTTCGCAGAAGGCGGCGGGGCTTCTCAGAAGCTCTCCCGCCACCTGAGAAGTCTTTCTGGCTTCGGGCAGGGCTCAGACACTTGTTCCCCATGTCCAAAGGATAGGGCTCTTGTTTTCCCCCATATCCTAAGGATGGGGTCCTTGTTATTCTCTGACCGCGCCGGACCTCTCACTTCCCCTCCTCCCTCTCTGCACTGGACAACGGTGATGATTGTCATGATGGCATAGAGGCTTGGAAGAGGCTCAGAGGGCTTCTCAGAACACGGGAGGGCGCCCCGCCGCCTCTGAGAAGGCTGGCCCCCTCTGCCTTCCCCCCCCCGCCCTGTCTCGCCGCCGACCTGATGGGACCCGAGACCCTCGCGATCCCGGCGCTCGCTTCCTCGAGAGCGTCGCCTGGATCAGGGGCAATGTCAGGGGGGGGGGGCAGTCACAGAGGAGGAATGGTTCTAGCTTTCGAGGCCCAAGGTTTTCCGTTGTTTTGGTCGGGTCTCGGCGGTCGTCCAGCTTCGGGATGTTTTCCAGCAGTTGCGCCCGGCCGAGGCTGTTCACGGGGTGCCCAGATCGTCCCGAACGGCCGCTGGAGAGCCCAGCTATGACCAGAAAGCCAGACGGCACCGTTGGGGGGGGGATGGGCTCAGTGGGGGGGTCGCATCGACCCCCAATCGCCTACTGATCGCCGACAGGGGCCCGATAGCCCACCCAGATCGGGAGCGTGCGGGTTCGCTATCGGGTGCATGTCGCTGATCTATCGGTGATGTATTGCAGATTCAAATCGACTGTTCCCCCCCTGAGACGGCCCCACCCCTAGCGTTCCTTCCTTCTGCAGGTGAACAGATATCGTGCTCCGCGGGACAAGCTGGGGTGCATGCTGAATGCGTACCGCTTGATCGAGAGCTTCGTGGTCGAGGACTGAACTTCGAACTTCGAGGAAGAAATGCACAAACAATAACAATGATACACGGTATAGACATAGACTTTCGGAGGTCCGCGTGGATTTCTTGGATCGGCGCTGGTCCTCCTGGCGGCGCCTCCAGCACCGATCCAAGGAATACGCGCGGACCTGCGACAGCCTAGGTTTATGTAGTTTTGAACCCAGGGGTTTGGGCTCCTTCGTGCGCGCGTGTGCTTGTGTGCGCAGTTGGCTCTGTCCAACAAGGAAGAAAATTCAAGGGGTCGAGAGATGTATCTTTCTTGGGCTCTTCGATGGCGTGCGTGCTCACCACCTGGATGAGAGCATGTTCAGTGTAAGTACGCGGTTTCGATTCCACGCTTCATTTCCAATTCAGTGTTACGCCATGTTGCCCAATATCCCGCCCACGTATTCACCATTTAGTCGCACCGTTCCTCTAGGACGTTCCTCTCTGCTTGACGAGCTTTTTGGGTGCCATGTATCTTGGTCGTTGAAGTCGAGTCGCTGTTTTGACCAGTTTGGGTTGGCCAGGACGCATTCCAGAGGGATGCAGCTGGAGATGCACCGCGAGAAGAGGCAACGGCCCGTTCATGACTATCTTGTGGACGTGGCCGATCGTTCGGATCGTTGCAATGAGAGCGAGATGCTGTATCTCCTACATCATACAATGGGGTTGGGAGCAAACCAGAGATAGAGAGAGAGAGAGTGCAGCGACAGCCTGCGATGACGATCCGTCGCTGTACCCTGTCTTGCTAGTCTTGCCTTCGTTTCCTCCTTCTGATGCCGCTCGCCCTCGCTGCCTCCTCCCCCGTTCCCTCGCTTCATTCTGCTTCCTTACCGTCGCGTCCTCCATCTCACTCTCACTCTTGCCCTAGCTTCTTCTTCCTTCCTTGCCCTCGCCTTGTGCTCGCCCAGCGAGGCTTTTCTGAACCAAGTGCTGACGACAACGCTGAAAGAGGCCAGGCCATACCCTTACCCCATATTCCGTACCCTGTCAGGGCTCATTTCGATGTTTTCAATTCGGTTCGATTCGATTTCGATAGATTACGATTCCGAATCGATTCAACTTGATATTCCGATGTAGATTCCGATTTCTCAACGGAGGTCTACTAGCCTGCCGATTTCCGCCGGCTCGACTGTCCCCGCCTCGGCTGCCGATCTCCGCGGATCCGATCCGTTTCGATCGCCGATCCGATATGTCGGTTCGATCTGGGGCTCTCTGCCCCTCTTCCTGACTCGTGCCAGCGAGCTGTGCGTCCTTACGTCGGCGCCAGGAAGCTGGCTCTGATTCTTCGGCCGGCCTGGGCGAGGGCTAGGCACGCGTGTGTGGCCACAGATCTTTCCAGTGCTCGGCCCTCTTGTGGCCGTGTGCACACGGCCCTCCGCGTGTGCAGCCGGCGCGCGGACTTTGGATGCTCCGCGTGTGGATCCAAGCTATGCGTATATTTCGGTTGCCTTTCTCTCGCACCTGGCGGATCGCCTCTCCGCCTCGCCGCCGACGAGAAAAGTTTTCCAGCTGCCTTGTGGTTGGTTGTCGCACGCGGACCGTTTCGCCGTTCAGGGGGCGAGCTGTCAAGGGGGAGGCCTTGTAGACCCATGGAGTAGGCAGCAATGTGAGGAGGTGGTCTGGGATGAGTCCGGGATAGAGTCGGGAGCGAAAAAAAAACACAGACGCATTTAAACGTCGACTACCAGGGAAAGATGGGAAAGCATATGAGACTATGGGAAGTGGAGGGGGAGACAAACGTCCAAAATACACGCACACACACATATATGTATGTACACATGCGCATATATATACATATACATATAGGAAAGGGAGCCCTAGGATTAGTGTCTATTCGTTTGTGTGTCCCACGGCCCCTTTTATCGAGGAGGGCATGCGGAGGTCCCTTTGGAGGCGAGCAGCGGAGGGGGCAGGAGGGGACGAGGCGAGACGAGCCCACGCGATCCGCCGCAGTCGGCCTGAGAGAGGTAGCCTTCCCTTGGGTCTGGAGGACGGGTAACTTCGACCCTCGAGAAGACAACGATACAACCACTGTTACATCCGCTGCTCGAGTGGGGCACTGGCCTGTCGGCACCTTCGAGGCACGCAGCCCCAACTCTTATGAGCTGGCAGCTACGACAGGCTCCTGCGGCGTTGGCGCGCCCGCGACGCTGGCGAAGGCGTTCGAGGCTGGATTCTGGGACGCGGAAGCAGCGAGGGACGTGGGTACCGCCCCTGGGCCCGACAGAAACCAGCCTCGAACGATCGGAGCTGCGATCGATACGAGATGGAACGATCGACGCGGTGTCAAACACCCTTGCGCGCCGACCCCGCGCCAACCGACCGCACGACCCCCAGACTTGATGGGGCGGACTTCTGGGTGGGGCTGGTTGGAAGGCGCGGGCCTTGTCTGTAGATGTCAGGCCCGCGCCTGCCAAGAGGCAGCCTCCGTCAAAGAAGCACTCCCCCCTCCACATACCCCCATTGTGCGCGTCGCCACTACGACGACCCCCAGATCTGTCAGGGTGGACTGCAAGAGGGGCCACGGGTGCATGTGGTCGGAGGGGGACCCCGCTGGAGCGGCGCCCCCCCCCCCCCCCCGCCCTGTCGGTGTGCGATACCCCGCGTCCATACCTACAGCACAGCCTCAGATCGCGAAGCGCGGACCAGCCCCCCTATGAGTATGGGTGTGCACTGTCCGTTCGTCAAGCTGAGGGCCGTCGTGGATGACGGGGGAGACAGCACCAGTTATCATTAGGCATACACAACCTCGCATCGCATAACACAACCAATTCGTGGTTTCACGTAGGTCCACGGTTTGGGGGATATTCCTAAAAGATATGGGTGGTTTTATTGTTTGGTCCTCCTATTTTTGGGGGGGGGCATCCCAAAGGATCAGGAGTGCCTTCATTGTTTATCAACCAGCGGTCATCGTTGCGCTCACCGCTGGCTCTCGATCCCCCCCGACCCCGACTCGCCCCGTGGCCAGGGCGCCCACAGGACGCCAGTGCCGGGAGCTTTAGCGGGCCTTGCGATGAGGTGTCTGAGGAGAGCCCTTCCCCAGGCGTGGAGTTTCGCGTTTCGGCATTTTGGGGGATGGGCCCCGGGGCCGGATGACGGGCCCGGGGGCCGACATCGAGGAAACACGCGAGGATTAAACATCGGGGGGGGGGGAGATTGGAGCAATTGTTTTGACGGATTGGCGCGCGGTTGGCGTCTCAGCCGCCTGAGCCGCCCAGGGGCCGTCGCAACCACTGGCCCCAGCAAAATCGGCGACCAGCCTCAAGGGAGTGATGTAAACCAGCAGGGATGCCTCCCCCCCCCCCCTCTGAAGACCCCCAAAGAACAGATCGTCTTCTCGGAGATCTGGGCTGTGCGCAGGCTGTGTGGCGTCCCAGATTGGGCCCCTCTCCCATGGGGCCATCGAGCGGCCAGCATCTCTTCCCTCCTGGCAGACGGCGGCCGGAAAGCTGACGGGAGGCGGCGGGGGCAGAGCGGTGCCGGCCCCCACCGGCGTCGGAGGCTGCCAGAAGCGTTCGTTGGACAAGGTTGGTTTCGCTGAACATGAGTCCGAGGCGTGGATTTATCCGTAACCACCGTCTGGGGGATCGATCTTCGCGGACCTCCGCAGGCGATGGATATGGATAATGTTTCGGCCCTGGGGGCCAAAATATATCCAGATCCACCGCCCGCTGGGGCACCAAGACGTCGGTTCCCAGGCGGTGGATATGGATGAATCCCCACCTCGCACCGAGGCGCCCCCCCCCCCAGCCTGTTCTGAGGCCCCCCCGCAGCTCGGCCTGGGGCGCCCCAGGAGCCGTCGAGATCAGCCTTTGATGAACCAGACCTTCTCGCCCTGCCCGCCAGCGGAAGGCCGGCGGAGGATGCTCCCTCGACTCAGGCAGTGGCGACGCGTCCAGATTTGCCGATCGTGTCTTTCAGGGGAGGACCTGTGAAGACAACGGTAGTTGGCCTTCGGGGGGGTCTCCTCGTCGCCACGGCTGGACGCAGCTCGGAAACTTGATGCGCGTGGGCCCCGGGAGGGGTCCGGGGACCGATTTGGAGCCGTCGCTCTCTCAGTTCGCCCTGCGTTGGCTTTCCCGGTCTTCACGCGTCGGCTGATTGCTCCAAGAACACAGTCGAGCATCTGATTAAGACACCTCCTCCTGACGAGCTGGGCCAGCGTTTCTGAGTCGACTTTTCGGAAGGCTGGCCCAGTGTCTTGCGCACGTTCGCCCCTCCAGCGTTAACGACAAAAGCTGGCCCAGGCTTGTTTTAAGAAACGTCGGGGAAGCTGGCCCAAGTTTCTCAGGTGATGATTTTCTTGACCAGATTGTCTGCTGTAGTTCTCAGCGCGTGGCGCGGCAGGCCTAGACGAATGCTGGGACGGGCTGTCCCTGCCCAGCCAATCGCCGTGAAGCAAGCTGGCTCCTGGAAGGAGCGAGTCATGCGGTCTTTCTCTCCGCTTTCGGGCTCTCGTGGCCTTCCCCGGAAACAGGGGCAGTCCGAGAGCGGCTCGGGATGAAGAGCTGGACTTAGGGGGAGGCCCCGGGGTCTAGGATTAAGTCGAGCCTGTCCCTCTACAGGAGGAATATTCAAAAATAGTAGAACAAATCGTATGGTCACGATGTGTTTAATACTGCTGGGCCTTTTTTTGTGATTCTGTCGGCTATCTTTATTTTTCACCCAAAATCCCCCTCCAGGGGGACACGCCCGACTCCAGTCTAGGACCTCTGTCGCTCAGGACCCGCATGCCTCATGGCAGCCCAAAAATTCAAACGTGTGGGGTTCAGGTTCCTGGAGGCAGCTCCAGAAAAGGGCCCCGGCCTCGAGGGACGGAGCGGTTGACTTTCTCTTCCTCGGCGGAAGGCGGTCGAAGGTTGGTGGAAGCTCACGGAAGCAAGACGTGAACGATCCGCAGGTGGAAGCCAGCAGAAGTAACATCCAGACTTCCAAGAGATAGCATTTTTTCTGGAACGATTCCTGCTTCATCGAGACGGAGGACACGCACACGTAGCCCGATAACCCAAACGTGCGATTCACCAGGTCGGGTCACGAATGCCGAGTCCCAGAATGCTGATTCGCCCAAGAGAACTGCAGCCCATACTATTTTTGTCAGTTCGAGTTGGAATCTGTCCGTCATAGAGCATGGCAGCTTGAGCAGGCAGATTGGTTACATGTTCTGTCTGGTAGGGTCGCGCGCTCCTGCACATGCGCGCCGAATCGTGGTTGCTCTGACTGCAGTGTCAGAGTGCTGCCTTGGGTTCCACCCGCCATCTAGAGGCAATGCCCGAGAATTTCTTCTCCAACGTGGTGTTCGTATCGACGTACCGGCATCCTTCACGGATCAGTCCAGAGGACGCTCAGCTTTATCCGTGCTCGGTGTAAATTTCTTATTGCAGAGCATTCGTACCGCGACGTCTGATGTCGCTCGTTAGCAGTCGACGTGCTGCTCAGGATGACTGCACACATTGTGATGGGCTGGCACGTGCCGCAGGTAGGCTCGGAATGAATGGGAGTATATATTGCGATGGACTGGCAAGTGCCGCAGGTATCTGACAGCAACGGGGCGTGGAAGGAAGTGTGCTTGTACACCTCTTTTTCGTCATGTCGCCTGGGCGTGGCCAAGGCACCGACCCGACTCAAAACCAATCGGTGACGAACCGACGGCGACGACGATGGAGCCCGGGACGCAGGAAAACATCGATCACTGCGGTGGCGAGGCCTGGTGCCTTTGAGTACAAACTTACGAGTGCTGCGTCCGTTGTCGCAGTATTGTCTGTTTAGCATGCCTCACGCAGCAGCTCCTCAACTATCATACTCTTCGGGGTTCATGCCGATCCGATGCGATATCGATTCTGGCTGACCCGATTCGCTTCGATTCGGATAACCCGACGGCCAGAAGCGGCCCAATGTTTGGCATGGCGTTGCTGTGCATCTTGGCGCGGCCGATGCGACTCACCTCTGCTGCGTGCCGCTGCAGTTGACATGAACCGTCGGAGGTCCGCGCGGGCCTCCGAGCGTTTATGTTTATGCTGTTCGGCTTCACTATAGATCCAGCGCGCAATCGGAGCCGATCCGATCTCCCGATGCGGTGCTCATGCCTCCTGGCCCCCGCCACGTGCAGACGTGATTGCAAGGAGCAGCGCTGCCTTCAGAGCTTCACCAACGCGGCGGCTTCCCTGGAGAGCGGCGCTGACGCTGGCGATGGCGCAGATCGCGCGGTGTTGCCTTTTTCCCTTGTTTCGTGTTGCTCTTGGATGTCTGCAGCTTGTTCCTTCGCTTGCTGGCTCAAGAAGGGTTCACCTCGGAATGTTTGGGATGGTAAGAGGCAGCGTGCTTACACATGTTCAGAGCTCTGCTCAGGTCTCTTGGATCGGCGCTTGGCACTTCCTATCGGCGCCTCCGGCGCCACCTCTGGCGCGCTCCGTGCGCCAGGGGGAGAAATTCCAGCGTCGATCGACGCACGGAGCTCCGAAAGTTCATGCTTATGCAGTTGTTCTTGTTCTATCTAGAGAGTTCGCCTCGGAATGTTGCCCAGCTGCCCGCGGCAGACCAGGCCACCGTGCCCGCGCACCAGCGCAGAGAGGAGGAGGTTGGGTTTGAGATCCGCTTCAGGTCAGCGCCCTGTCTGGGCCGGCGCGGATCTGAAACACCCTCTCCTTACCCCCCTATCGTTTCGCTTATTGTATTATCGTTATCCTCTCCTCTTCCCCTCAATTTCCCTGTTGAAATTATTTTGAAGGCTTCTATGGAGCTGCTTTGGAGGCAGCTTTGGGGTTTATGGGTGTCTCTTGGCGGCCTGCTGGGGGCCTGTAGGTAGTCTGGGTGCCGTCCCAGCCGCGATGGTTTTGACGATCTCTTCGGGCTGGTAGGCTCGGGTGAATCCCATGTTGGGGACGTAGCCCCCTTGACGCCGTCTTGGGCCGCCTTGGGGAGATCTCGGGCCGTCGTGGCGGGCATCTAGGGTATCGGGGCCGTCTTGGGAGTTTTCCCGAGGGGGCGATAAGCAGAAAAGCCTCTAACGCAAGCAACATTGAAATTCTTGACGCTTCGCGTAAGTAGTGAAACAAAGCAGACAACCAGTGTGAATCGAGCGATCTCTGTGAGCAAGGGGGTGGGTTTGGAGGGCCTCTTCGGGCCATCCCTGGGGCCCGCGTGGGGGCGAGGGAAGGAGAAGGAGGAGGAGGTGGAGGAAGAAGACGACGACGGCAACGACGACGACCACGATGGCGAGGAAGAGGAGGGAAAAGTAAGAGGAAGACGATGAGGGCGAGAACGTGGACGAAGACGAGGAGGAGGAGGAGGATGACAACGAGGACGAGGACAGAGCCCTCAAAATCGCCTCTTGGAGCCCTCTTGGGGCCCGTTTGGGGATGCTGGGGCCGTCCTGGAGCTTTTTTTGGGTGGGGGAATCTTGGGGACCTCTTGGGGCCCTCGTGGAGCCCTCTTGGGGGTCCCCTGGAAGCCCTGGGGGGCCTCTTGGGGCCATCTTGGAGGCCATCGATCCGCTCCCAACTTGTCGCCCCCCTCTGGGGCCTTCCAAACCGCCTCCAGAGGCTCTCTTGAGACGCTCTTGGGCCGATCCTGGGCGCTCTTCGGGCTGCTTTGGGGGCCTCATGGGCTCCTTTTTGGGGCTCTCTTGGGCCATCTTGGGGCCCCCTTGAGACACCAAAAGCGCATCGGAAGCGAACAGGCGAGAAGGCAAACATCATTGATTGTCCGTTGGTTCTTCGAAGAAGCTTGGCCTCTTGGCGGGGGGTCCTGAGGGGGCCCCGAGAGCACTTGGAACCGTCTTGTGGCCCTCGTCCATCTTGGAGGCACGTCGGGCGCTATCTTGAACCAGCTTCGGCTACCTTGAGCCGCTTGAAAGGTCATCTTGGAGCATCGGAGGCTCTCTCGGAGACATTGGGCGAAAAAAGCCTCAATTCTGGGAGGTGTAGGGTTCCCCTCCCCGAAGGGGAGATGGTTTTTGGAAGAGGAAAGTAAGAACTCGTTAGATCACCTTAGCCCAAAAGGCTGGTGGGATTCTGGAGGCCGCGTTGAGCGTCTCTTGGAGGGCATATCTATAAGATCTTGGAGCTTTTGGGGGGACCTGTTGGGTAGAATCTTGGGCTGGCCCTGTGGTATCTTGCAGCCGTCTTGGAGCGGCCTTAGGCCGCCTTGGAGACACCTTGAGATCCAAAAAGGCGACGTCGGGCAAAGCTAGGGTGAAGTCGGGCCTGTCCCTCTACACGAGGCAGGTTCAAAAATAGTCAACACATGATCTGGGGAATATTCTTCCACCATTTTCTGACTATTTTGGAATCTTTTTGGCGTATTCAATTTTTTTCGCCCAACATTCCCCTGTAGGGGCACACGCCCGACTTAAAGCTAGGGAGAGCGATGTTCCATGGGTGATGATCGTGCCATCGGGAAGCGGGTCGCCCTTGGAACATTCCAGGAGCCCTACCCAGGCAATCGGCAGGCATTCCAGCACTCTATCTTGCAGGCCCGGTGGCGGACAAAGCCCCCGTGTTCCAGGGTATCAAATGTTCACTTCTAATTATTCGAAAGGTCTTTGATTTTTCCCGGGGCCAAGATCCTTTCATGTCTAATTATTTTATCCTTGGCCTCTTCCTGGCCACTAGGGGGCCAGAAACAATTAGAAACGAGCACAATTAGAAATGAGCGCGAGTAAAAATGAACGACGTGTAGTCTTGTCCCAGTCCCTTCGCTGACCCGACCTTGTCGGCCCCATGGTTTTCGGAGCCTCTCCTCTCTACTCCTCGCCTTGGGGGGGGGCATCTTTGGCTGTTCGTTACTTATGGTGTCACCTTATCCCACAAGCGCAGCAGTGACGAATGGACGGTACGCCGAACAGCCTTGACATTTGTTTTTGCTTGTCCACGAGCGCCAGCACAATGGCGGTCACGAGCACGGTACGCTTGCAACCCGTAGAGCTTGCGGCCCGTATGGTTCGGTTTTCCGATCGCACGCGTTGCAATGACAGGCAATGATATTTATCTCCAGCGCTCCAGTTGGATCGTGCGCCTCACAGTGCCTTTGCAGAGACGCACCAGCCGCCTCCGGACAACAGACTCGTTGCGATGGCGTGCACGGGCTGCTCGTCGCAACAACTCAAGCACATAGTATGTGTGCGTCGGCCCCTCAGGAGCGACGCTCGCGCTCAGGAAGTTTACAGCATATCGTCAGTCTCGGGCGCTTTCTGGCCATACTGCCTGGGTGCTGGTATGGTGTGAAACGTTTGTACCGTAAGTTCGGCTCGGACGTGCGCCTCCAACGGGCACGAGTAGTGCCAGCATGTCCTTCTGCAAGGGCCGAAGAAGATGCAGTCCCCTTTCGGGCAGCGGCGTCTGAGGTGAAGGCCCCGGTGATGTGTGACTTCGAGCCCCGCTTTCTACGTTTAATCGTGTAGCGTGCAACGCAGCTGCATGGTATTTGGGCACATGCCGTTTTTCTTTTTTGTTCCACTTGGGCAGCTTAGGCGTATACCGTGTGCCAGAGTGAGCATGCCCAAATACTTGCGAGAAGTTCCGCCGCCGGGCCAGAGCAGCAGTCTGTGTGGGAGCCCGTCGGGAATGGCCCAGGAGACATTCCACAGTTCTTGCCTCTCGGACCCGGGAGGGGCGTAAAGTGCTGCAGGCCCTTCCGCAGTCTCGAGAGGAGTTTGCGCTTGGAGAAGAACAAATGCAAATTAGCCACTGTGGGCCCCAAGTAGCGATTTCTTGAAATATACGCTGTGCAACTCCAGGTGATGCAATCCATGTGGTGCAATCGAGGTGGTGCACTCCATGTGGTGCAATCTACGTGGCGCAAAGGAATGCCAAGCGATGCAAAGCAACGCAACACAACGTCAAGCAACTCAGTGCAATACAAACCAATGCGAAGCAATGCGAAGCCGTTCGAAACGATGCAGGGCAATGGAAAGCAATGCGAAGCAGTGCAAAGCAGTGCACAGCAATGCACATCGATGCAAAGCAACGTAATGCGATCCAAGGCAATGCCAAGCGACGCAAACCAATGCAAAACAATTGCAAAGCAATGCCAAGCACCGCACTGCAATGCAAATCAATGCGAAGCAATGCAAAGCAATGCAAAGCAATGCAAAGGAATGCAAAGGAATGCAAATCAATGCAAAGCAATTCAGCGGCGCCGGCGGCGACCAGCGGCGACGGCGGCGGCGGCGACTGGCGGCGACGAGTCGGCCGGAGTTCCGCGTGGATTTCTTGGGTCGGCGCTGGATCCGCCCTGGCGGCGCCTCCGGCGCCGCCCTCGTTGCGATCCGCTCGTTGGGAGGGGGGTCCAGCGCAGGTCACGTGTGACGCATCAGATGCCGATGGCACAGGCGTTTTCGAAAAAAGAGAAAAATACGTAAGCGTGAGCCGTTGGAGTTCTGTGCGGATTTCTCGGATCTGCGCTGGGTCCCCCTGATGGTGTCGCCGAAGCCGCCCATGGCGCGCTTCGCGCGCCAGGCAGAGAGGTTCAGCGCAGATCCAAGAAATCCGCGCGGAACTCCAACAGTTTATGTTCCTGCAGTCTTTCCTTCCTCCACTGCTGCCTCCCAGGGAGCCGGCCGAAGTGACTATTGCGGGGTTGTTTTGCCGCCTGGAGGCCCCTCGGAGTCCTGCCGACGGCCTCGGGGTGCTTGCTGGGTGGGAGCGCTCGACATGCCACTTCGGCTTCCCATTCTTGCGCCGTTCTTGGGTCCGTCTTGGGGGTCTCGTGGGCCCTCTTGAGGCAATCGGCCTTCTGTGACATCCAAGACGTGGGAGGAGGGGGGCTTGGGAGGTCCTCCTCTCCTCCCTCTCCTCCTTCCCCTCCTCCCTCTCCTTCCTGTGGTGGTGGTGGTGGTGGAAAATCGTCCTATCAACGCTCCCGAGGACTTTGGAAATGTCACGAGGCTCAGCCCATGACCGGCCCGAACTCCTGGGATCTCTTGGGCCTGGGCCCCTCAAAGACTTCCGCAAAATATCCCCAAGACGACAGCCGACATAATTTATGTTACCGTTGGCTTGCCTTCGCAATTCAAGAATTACTCTTGAATGCTCTCGAGCTTGAGAACGTGTGTGGTGCACGCCTTCTGGAGAACGAGACAGTTCATGTTGGCGGCCTGATTTGCACAGCCTATCCGGCACTCCGCTTTCCTTTTTGACTCGACCGCCTAGTGTAACGAGGGCAGTTTTTCGTCTTGAGCACGGACATGATGGGTTCAGATGTTGCTCCAAAGCGCGTGAGAGAAACCTTGGCGGTCGTGTTGCGTATCCGAATTTTGTTTGGATTTGTGATGTGGTGGATCCGGTTCCCGTCCGCGCGTGTACGATTCTGTATGTCGTGGATCTGGTTTCCGTCCTATTCTTGCATGCGGATCTGCTTCATGACCTGACCTAGATTTACACGATTGAATCGGAGGACCCCGAGAATCGAATCCGCGGCACCCAGGACCATTTGTTGTTGTTAAGATTCTACTGGGGAGGGGGGGGTGGCTACACATTTCCACAGACAGGTCGCGCGTCGTCTCGCGAACCCCATCAACCCTCACCGCACACGTGTCGCACCGAACCTGAATACATCCCCCACCCCCAGCTGCTGCAATCAGTTTGTCCAGATGCTGTACGTTTGGCGGCGCCGACGCTCTCTCGCCAACCGCTGATCACCACTGGTGCCTCAAGAGAAGCATCTCTCGCCCTGCCTAAGCACTCCCCAAGCAGTGCTTGCACCTAGGGGTATCGCGTCTCTTTCTGGGTGATGGGGAAGCTCTGCGCGGGATTTTCCACCTTCGCGCCCGTGCCACCTCGTGGGCGCTCGTGGGCGCCGCCGAGGGTGTCCTGCCGAGGTTTCCCCGCGTTCGCGCCCGTGCCGCCTCGTGGGCACTCGTGGGTGCCCCTGTGCAGTCCGTGCCTTGTGTTGGTAATTTGGCTTGCACAGCATAGTTCACATCGCATAGCTTACATCGCACAGCTTGCATTTCACAGCTCACGTTATATTGGTCTCACGGTTTTTGGGTCACACCACTTAGCTGTATATCACATAGCTCATGCAACAGATCTTACACAACCGAATTCACACCACATGGCTTGCAGAACGCACCACATGGCTTACATCGCATAGCTCACACCTGCACAGTGCAATGGCTCACTGTTGGGGGCCCACGCTGGCCAATATTCAACACAGTGGGCTCGTCGGGACCTCAAGCTCTCCTCCGCGCTGCGCTGAACCCGACCGGCGTCTGGTGCGATCTCAGCCTTACCATCTCAGCCTCCGCCGCAGTGGCAGGCTCAAGCGCACCGAACGTTGACCCCGTACGTCCCCCTGCAGCCACCTCGGCTCAAGGAGGCCCCGCGGCTCGGGCAATCGGACCCCGAGGGCGCGCCCAGGGAGGGCCCCCAGGCCTCGGACGGTGTGATTTTGCTGCGGGTCCCAGGGATCCCTGCCCCCTCCCCAGGGACGTACCGTGGATGGAAACCATTAGCGCGAAGCTGATTCGCAACGTTGGAATTTTGCCATTCCAAGTCTGCGGGCTCCAAGCTGGGCACGACCGACGGCCGCCGCTGAAGAGGTAAAAAATAAACGCGAACCGCACAGGCATGTTTTTGAGCCTCATAGTGTCGTGGCCCAGACTGCATTCAGTCTCTTTGAACGGCGGAATTCCAACGGTATGATTTGATTTCGCGTTCATCCCTCACATCTAGAGCAGTTCTGCGTCCCAGATCCATTCTTGATGGCCCTGGGGCCTGGCAGCGCGCCCCCGGAGGCTGACCTCGAGGGACAACGCTGGGAGCACAAAAGTCGGATCCTCCGAGATCTGGGTCTGCTGGCGGGGCTTGATGTCTGCCCAGGAGGCCGCCGCGGCGGGCACGCTCGGGGGGCTGTGCGAAGACCTCCGGGGCAGCCTGGAGCGGATGGAACAAAAAGGCGCCGCTGCCGCCAACCCCCCCGGATCCCTCCCAGCGTGCGCTCTGACCAGGATTTGGAGGGGAATCCAGCGGCAGCGAAGGAGGCTTCTCGGGCCCCAACAAGGCGAAACCGCAGCGAAAGTGGTGGAAGGGTCGCGGCATCGGTACCTTCTCCTCTTTCGGGGAGCGCCTGGAGGCCGCCTCTGCGGTTGCGTTCGGGGGGCTGTGCGACGACCTCCGGGGCAGCCTGGAGCTCAGCATCACTTAACCCTGTCCTCAGCCGCGCTGGCCCCTGCTCTCTCAGCTATGCAGCACACGCCGCCAGGTCGGGATAGGCCCCTCGAGCCCGAAGGAACGGGCATACATCTACACCCAGGTAGGTAAGTCGGCAGGTGGGGCCAAACCTTGCCGGGGATACAGTCGACATGGATGATAAACATTGGTAACCTTCCTTGGGGTACCCCTGCATCCTTGCCTCTTCGGTCCATCCGTAACCATGTTCGATGGCCAGCTCCGCTCGAAAAGCTTCGACATTGGCGTCCACGAAGCTTGTATTGGCATCACCCCAACATTGTGTATACTATATGTGCGTCGCCCCCCCGGGGGCGACGCGCGCACCGAGAAATCTTTTAGTATATGCGTCGTGGCGGCCGCTTTCTGGCTACACCTCTCGGGAAACGACATACGACAAGCCGGGTGTACTACATGTTCGGTTCAGACACGCGCCTCCAAACATATAGTACTAGTATGTCTCTGCGCTTCCAATTGCATCCCCATCGCGCATCCTTCACATCAGCTTTGGCTGCAGGGATCGGTTTTCCACGATGCTCCTGCCCGCCCGACCGATCGACTCGCCCACGACGACGGCGTGCCCGCCCGCCCGCTCGACCGCCCGGGGCCCGACCTGCCCTTCGTCGTCGTCGTCGTCGTCGTCGTCGTCGTCGTCGTCGTCGTCATCGTCGTCACTGTCGCTGTCGCCGTCGCCGCCGCCGCCGCCGTCGCCGTCGCCGTCGTCGCCGTCTCCGTCGCCGTCGCCGTCGTCGTCGCCGTCGTCGCCGTCGTCATCGTCGTCGTTGTCGTAGGCGTCGTCGTCGTCGTCGTCGTCGGCTTCGTCGTCGTCTTCGTCGGCATCGCCGTAGGCGTCGCCGTCGGCGGCGTCGGCGTCGGCGTCGGTCGTCTGTCGTCGGTCGTTTGTCGTCGTCGTCCATCGAGGAGCGCCTGGAGGCCCTGCACGAGCAGTGGGGCGACCCCCTCGACGAGGGCAGCGCCCTCCGCGTCGCTCTGCGCGCGGAGCTGCAGGCAGCGCGCCGCCCCTCGGCGGCGGGCCCGGGCAGCGCCCGCGCCGGGGCCTCCGCTGCGCAGCCCTCGCCCGGCCCAGCCGCCGTGGGCTGGCCTCGCCACGAAGGAGAGGGGCGGCTGCGCGGCGGCCGGCGTCGTCGTCGGTGTCGTCGGCGTCGCCGTCGTCGGCGGCGGCATCGTCGCCGTCGCCGGAGTGACCGTTCGCCGGGGTGACTTCTGGTTAGGCCCAACATGGGCCCCCCAGCGCCGGCCTGCGCGCTACGATTTGCTCCCCCCCCAGCGGGGCCTCCTAGAGCCGCGCACGTGTAGCCGAGAGGGGTCCGCGGAGGGGGGAGCTCAGATTTTCGAGGATCTGATTTTTCCCAGCCGGGCGTGTCTCCCCAATTTCGGTTTCTAGGGCTCGTTATCGCGCCCCAGGGCCATCAAAAATGAATCTGGAATCAAAAACTAGCCCCGGGCAAGGGGTCAGGACCTCTGGGGCCGCGGATTGAAGACATCATGTCCTGGGGGCCTCCCAGAGGCCCCTGTGCGCGGTCAAGAAGCGACTCGTGATGCAACGCTTGTCCCAGGGAGTGCCCGCGGGGGATCCAGCTTCCGGACGGGGCTAGGACAGGGATAAATCATCCCAGAGCGTTCCGGAACGCTCTCAGAGCGTTCCTTATCGCTTTGAGAAGGCCGCGGCGCCCGGGACGTCCTCCAGAGCCGCTGGATCGCAGAGATGCTCGATCTACCCTCACCCGATGTTATCCTCGTCCTGGCTGCGTCTGGAGCTTCCCCCACGGCCCGTGTCCTTCGCGTCAAGGGGCCTGCAGCCCCTCCGCGGCGCGGGCACCGACGCCAGAGACGCAGGCGCCTGGCTTCGCGAGGTCCTGGAGCCTCAAGAGCAGAATGCAGCACATGACGAAGAAGACGTCGGACGCCACGCCAGTACCGACCGTGTGGCGGTTGAGGCGCAGTCACACGAGCGACAGCGAGGAGATATCGGTTTTGTCCGAGACGCCTGGGCTGGTTGGTTGGGCCCGGCGAAAACTGTCTTGGCTGGTGCATCGTCATGGCGTTGCTTTTGACTACGCCATCTGTCTCGTCATCGTTGCGAGTTCCATCTGTGTCGGAGTGGAGATCCAGTGCGATCTAGAGGGCAGTGTGGATTGCTCGAGAACCACTGGTGATTTAGAGCATTTCTTCCTGGTGGTCTTCGTGCTGGAGCTGCTGATCCGCTTCCTGGCTGAGGGCCCGCGGGTGTTTAAAAATGCGTGGGTCCAGTTCGACACCATCTTGGTTGCTACAGGAGTGATTTCTACTTGGGTGATAGAGCCCATCGTGATGAGTACCAAGGGCGACGACAGGACAGCATTCCTTGGCATTATTTCCCAGATGGTGGTGCTGCGTGTGTTGCGCCTTCTTCGCCTCGTGCGAGCCCTACGCTTCTTCGAGCAGTTCCAAGAGATGTGGAAACTTGCGAATGGCCTGATACGCTCGTTCCGCACCGTTCTCTCTGCCTGCTTCCTGATATTGCTGACTATCTATGTTTTTGGGTGTCTCGGCGTCGAGCTGATCACAAAAGATATTGATCTGCTCGAAGATCCGGTGACAGCAGAGCTGATCCAGTCGCACTTCTCTTCGCTGCAAGTGACTATGCTCACCCTCATTCAGTTCGCTAATTCAGATTCCATTGCGAGCGTTTACAAGCCTTTGGTATGCAGGGCATGGCCTTTGCTTTTCTATTTTGGTTTTGTCTGGCTAATCGTAACGATCACGCTCATGAATTTGATTCAACAGGCTTGCGCCCGTCCATGAAATCCACTACGGGGTTGGCCAGGGGAATATCAACTCCCTTGCACTGGGTTGCCCGAGCAGGATGGAACGCAGGATGACGACGACGAGCAATGTGGGAGGGGCAGGGAAGCAATGGGGGGAGGGATGCAAGGGCGGGAAGGGCAGGGACGCAGGCGGAACGCAGGAGGGGCAGGGAGGCAAGAGAGGCAAGGGAACATGAGGGGCAAGGAAGGCAAGGAGGAGGTACGCAGGACGGGACGGTTACGGAGGCAAAGCGGAGGGTGAGGCAGGGCAGTATGTCGGGGGCAGTTGCCGCGGCAAATTATTCAGTGTTGCGTCGTCTCTTGAGTCTTGCTGGGGGGCCTCCTTTGTGGTAGTTGTGATATCTAGGGCTCCTTTTGGTGCCTCCAGCACTCAGCAGGATGATGATGCAGAGTGGAATGCGTTCATCGGTGAGCGCCCGAGCCTTGAATGGCAAGCCCTGTTCTCCCGTCTTGGTGTCATCAACAGCAGGAAGCAACACTTCCAGACAGGAGCGAGTTTGCGGTTGACGGTTTTGCTTGTTTCTTTGTCGAGATGCCTTGTGTACATTTGCGCCGCTGCGTTGCGACGGCGCGGCGCAGTACTGTTCCCTCGCCCCGTTCTATAGCGGTCGGGGAACGGTGTAACACAAACTGTTCCGCCATCGGAGGTGCTGCCTGCGCCAGTCAGCCACGCGCAGAGGGGGCTGGGGGGAGGGGGGAATGCTTCTTAGAAGCACCCCTGTTTTTTAGAAGGCGCCGGCCCTACATCCTTAGACGAGGCCCGCGCCTTCTAAGAAGCAGCCTCCTTAGAAGCCTTCCCCCCTCCACCTACCCCCTTGTGCGCGCCGCCAACTCAGAGCGGCTGGGAAGTTGATCCCCCTGTCCCTAGGGTAGGCGCTCCCGGTGGCTGAACAACATCTGTTTTACATGGAGCGGCGTGCAGTTTAAGCGAACATCGGGCAGAGTGCGCAAAACGTGCTGCGCGCGAGACCCGAGGCACCTGGTGCGCGGGGCCTCCCTGAGCATCATTCACCCTCCACGTTTGGCGACGCCCACAACGGTTGGCGCGAGAGGGGGCTGGCCTTCTCAGAAGGCGGGGGGGTGCTTCTCAGAAGGCATGGGCCTTCTGAAGAAGGCCTCTTAGACGCCTTAGGGCCCTTCTAAGAAGGCCCCTCTACTAAGAGCCCCCCCTGCCTTCTCACAAGGCCACCCCCCGCGCGCCACACTTTCTTGTGGGCGCCGCCAGCAAGTCACTGCGGGCACCGGAGTCATCCGATTTTTTGGGGGGCGCACACCTGCAGGGTGCTGCGCGGGCACAAATCGCAGCTCGGCCGACGGGCCCCGCGGCGCCGCGGCGCGTGCGACGCGCGATGAATGCAGCCCGACCGCAGGGCGCGCCGCCCGCGTTCGGTGGCTGGTGCTTCTGTGTTGTCACGCGCGGGCCTGCCGCGGGCGCTCGCGCAGGCGCGCCGCGGGGATCGCGCTGGGGCGGGTCGCGGCGCGCCCTGGCGCCGTCTGCTTCGCAGGTTTCGTATTACTGCTTCGCGCCGCGTTCGCGGGGCGCTCGCCCGCGGCGCGGGCCCGACGGCCGTTTTGCCGGGTGGCCGCCGTTGTTGCCGCACCGTCGTCGCTGCCGCCGTCGCCGCCGCGGCGTGGGTCTGGTCCTGGGGGTGGGCGCATGCTTTTCCTGGGGCTCGGTCGGCTGCCGGCGCGGTTGTCTCCGCCCCTCGTCGCCTCGGCTGGTCTCGCCTCGTTTTTCTACGTTTGGTGCGGGGTCCTGGGTCGGCGCCGCCCCTGCTCGGTCGTCGTGCCCGGGTGCCCGTCGTGGGCGGGGTCGTCGTCGCGTCGCGGTCGCCGTCGCGTCGTTTGTCGGGGCCGCTCCGCGTCGTGGCCGTTGTCGTCGTGGTGGCCGCCGTTGCTGCCGCGCCGTCGTCGCTGCCGCCGTCGCCGCCGCGGCGCGGGTCGGGTCCTGGAGGCTGGCGCGCGCTTTGCCTGGGGGTTCGGTCGGCCGTTGGGCGCGGTTGTCTCCGCTCCTCGTCGCCTCGGCTGGTCTCGCCTCGTTTTCCTCGCTTGGCGCGGGGTCCTGGGTCGGCGCCGTCCCCGTTCGCTCGTCGTCGTGTCCGGGTGTCCTTTGTCTGGCTGCGTGCCGCCTGCCGTGAGGTCCGGCGTGCTCTGCCACGCGTTCCGCCCGCCCTCCCCGCCTCGCGCGCGTGGTGCGCGTGTTCGCTGTGGGTGCTGGTGTGCGAGTGTGTTTTCTTCGCGCGACGTGCCCTGCCCCTGTGCGGCCTGGCCGCGTGCCGGCCCAATCCGGCAATGGCGTCCCGCTTGTGGGCGTCGCTCGCGTGGCGGATTCCGCGCGTGGGCCACGTCGTGCTCCTGGCGCGAGGGCACGGGCGCCCCGCGCAGGGGCGACGCGGCCTGGGGCTATCCGCGCCAGGGAATCCCAAACGGCGCTACAGACGCACCTTCGTCTGGGCGATCCGTGCAAGGGCGATCTAGCAGCGCGACCAATGCGCTTCATGCAGGCAACCCGAACTAGGGCGACTCGTAGTTGGGCTACCCGAGCTAGGGAGTCCCAACGGTGCGACACATGCACTGGCGCCTGGGCGACCCGAGCGAGGGCGACCCAGCAGCGCGACCAATGCGCTACATGCAGGCGACCCGAACAAGGGCGACCTGTAGTTGGGCTACCCACACTAGGGAACCCCAGCGGTGCTACACATGCGCCAGCACCTGGGCGACCCGAACTAGGGCGACCCAGCAGTTCGACCAATGCGCTACATACAGGCGACCCGAACTTGGGGGACCTGTATATGGGCTACCCGTGCTTGGGAGTCCCAGCGGTGTTACACATGCACCTGCACCCGGGCGATCCGAACGAGGGCGACCTGGGTGCGCAACAGTCACGCTTGACAAGCGACCCGCATAAGGGCGACCTGGGGTTAGGCCATCCGCACGTGGGTGACCCCAGCGGTGCCGCTGACGCGCCCGCACTTTGGCGCCCCGCGCCAGCGCGTGACCTGCTGGCGCCCTCGTGTCAGGCGCGCGTGCGTGTGCCCGATCGTGGGCAGCACGAGTGTGTGGCCCCAAAGTTGGGCAGGCGTTTGGTCTCGCGTGCCCTCCCTGTCCCGTCCCTTGCGCGTGCGCGTGCGTGGGTCTCATGGGCGTCCCGGGCGCAATCTGTGGTCCGTAGCCGTCTCGCTCAGGCGGATTCTATGTCGGGCTTCGCGACGAACGCGTCTGCTGCTCGGTTTGCGCCGTCGCTGCCATGGCCAGCGCGCCGTTGCTGACCTTCCTCGGGTCTGGCGTCGACAGCTACGCGACGCGCGACCGGACTTGGCCGCGGCCGGCGGTCGAGGTGCTGTCAGCCAACGGGATCGAATGCCCAGAGGACATGGTAAAGCTCAACGTCAGGGCGGAGACGTTCGTGCAGAACGGGCCGGTCGAGGGCAAAGGTGGCCTTCTTGGAGCGCGCCGCCGCTAATGCGACCCAGGCGGCCGCGCAGCAGGCGACGGCCGAGTCGGCTGCAGCTGGCAGCTCCCTGGATTCAGTAAGTGTCTTCTTGCAGGCGCTTTAGGGCACCGCAAGCCCGTCGCCCGCGTGACTATCGCCGCGGGGCTGGGCAAGGTGTCGCTGGCCAACCTGCCGGCATCGTGCCGGCCGTCTCCCCAGCCCTCCGACTGCGCGCAGAGTCGGGCCACGGCCGCGGAGGGCGAGGGCATCGGGAAGCCTTCTCCTTTACATGCCGATGAAGAAGTTCCTTCCGCATTACGCGACAGACAAGAGGCAGCTCAGCGCGCCCGAGGAGCGCGGCGAGAGCGGCCACTCGCGGAGGAAATCGCCCGCGGCATCTGCCGGGCGAGGGATCCTGACAGGAAGCAGGGCGACCTGCCGAGCATCCTGCAGCGGTGCGTCGCCTTCGACAGGTGGGCGATCGTAGCGGAGCTCGCCGGCCAAATGGCGCACGCGGCTTCCATGGCGCACAGGGAAGTCGTGATGCAGCTCGCCTTGTCGGCGCGGATCAATCAGCGCACGACCGCGATCGCCGTGTTTTACGACGATATCGCCGGGCGCCAGTGGGCCGACCTGGCTGCGGGCCAAGACAACTTCGACGCAGCCACGGCCGCGCTGCCCCAGGACTCGCCCATCATGCCCAGGACGGAGCGTGAGCGCCTCGCTCGCGGGCTGCCGGCGGCGCAGGATTCAACCCCGTCGCAGTCAAAGGGCAAAGGCAAGGGCGTCGCCCGGGGCCACAAGGGCGGCAGCGACTACAACGCGAAGGGCGCCAAGGCCAAGGGCCACGGCAAAGGGGGCAAAAGCCGCGACAAAGAACGCGAGGGCTACTCATCCGAGGGCGCCGCCAGCGGGTCGCAGGAGCCCACGACGCCATGCATGCGCCAGAAGAGGGAGCAAGGACCCGCCTTCGCCCCCGACTGCGGGGAAGCCGGACGGCCCGCGCACCCGGCGGGGCCCCCTGCGGCGCCAGTGAATATTCAGCCAGAGGCGGTGCGCGCTGGCACACTCTGGGCGGATCTGGGTCCCTCGCCGCTTGCGCACGCCGCGTCATGCTCGCTAGCTCAGCGCAGCGAATTAACGCCCGATGATATCGAGGCGTTGCGTTTCACCCGCGAAGCGCTGCGTCGCCGCGACGCGCGGCACAAGTGCGCGCGCGCGTCAGGATTGTTCGGAAGCAATCCAGTGGTGCGCCGAACGCAGCTTCACCCAGTGCATCTGCGAACGCGAGCAGCGCGTTCGACGCGTCGAGGTCATGGCAGCGCATTTCGAAGCCTGTGGTGCCGCCGAGGCCGAGCGCAGGGCTGCGCCGCCACACTTCGGCCCGCTTGTCGCGGGGGTCAATGTCCCGCGCGCGCGCGCGAACTGGCGCGCGAGTCAGAACGGCGCGACGCCGAATGCATAGATTTCTTCACGCGCGGCGCCTCTCTGATGGGCAACCTGGCGCGCGGCGGCAACGGCCGCGCGCTCGGCCCAGGCGAGCGCCCGGGCGACGCAAGCGCAGCGGTCAAGGAGCTCAGGACCAGCGCCCTCGAGGGCAACGCGTCGTTGCTCTCCTCAATTCGCGCGGGCCCGCGCGCCAGCGAGCTGCCGCAGAAGACGCGGGGCGAGGCGGTGCTGGGCAGGATGTCTCCGCCCCGGGCGTTTAAACGCGACGTCTCCGCGCTCGAGCTCGCCGCGGCATGGGGCGAGATAACTTGCATGGCTCTCAGGTTTGGGGTTTCCCAGCTCAAACCAGTTGGGTCTACGAAAGTGCGCCTGGTGGACGATTTCACGCGCGTGCGCCCCCGCCGAGAAATTATGCGTGGAAGACGTCGACATGCCCGTCGCGTTGGCGAGTGTTTCCTACGCCTCGCACGGCGAGATACCCGAGCTGTGGAAAGCGGGCATCGGTTCCGCATGTTGCCGCATTCCGTTAGAACCAGCCGACAGGTGGGCTGCCGTCAGCATCTTTAAAAAGGGCGACCGCCTGTGGTGCTCTCAGCATCAAGCGCGCGCGCTAGCTTCTTGCCGCGACTGGGGCCGCGTGGCCGCCATGCTTGCGCACTTCGCCAGACAGCTCGCAATGCTGCCCGTGCTCCGGCACGTTGATGACTACTTCTCGCCGGATCGTTCCGGCGCGGTCGAACACGCGAAACTTTGTTTTGCGCGCATCATCAGGGCCGCGCTAGGCAGCATCGCGGCGGCTGACTCGAAGCTGGCGCACGGGGCCCAGCTTGTCGTGCTCGGCGCGTTGTTCTCGTTGAGTGCACGCGGCACCCACTGCGAACCAGCGGAGGATAATCGTCTCAAGTGGTCGGCTGTCATCCAGGGCGCGATCGCGTGCGGCAAGTTGCACCGGGGCGCTGCGAAGAAACTTGCAGGCGCCCTCGCGTGGGCAGCGCAGTGCCTGTTCAATCATCTAGGCAGAGCGATGTTGCGCCCGCTTTTCGCGCATCAGCACTGCCGCTCCAGCCGCATCGGGCGGCCCCTCGAGCTCTCAATGCACTGGTGGACCCAAGTGCTCTAGCTCAGGCTGCGCGAAGTCGCGCAGTGAGAACAGGCGGAGATGCCCGCGTCGCACATGTTCTGCGACGCACGTAGCACGCCCCCATCGCTTTGCAGCCGAGCTTGTCATAGACGGCGAAGTCCTGTGCGCGGATCTCGCGCCCGACGCGGAGCTCGTGCAATCTGTCTGACTCAGGCGCGACGGCCAAATCATGGGCCTCGAAGTGCATGCGATCGCGCTGGGATTTCTCTCATTTGAAGGGCGGGTGACCGGACGCGCGCTGGAAGTTCACTCAGACAGTTCGGGCGCCGAGAGGTCGGTGGCGCGCGCGAGCGCCAAGGACTGGGATCACACAGCCCTGGTCCACGGGAACTGGTTCCTCGCGGCGCGCATGTCTCTGTCCATTTGGGTGCGAACGTGTCAGACGGGCCGTCGCGCGAGGTGTACACACTCTTGCAGTTTATCGGGGCGCGCCAGGTGCCGGCGCTGCTGGACGCGCGTTTCCGCGCGCCGGAGGCATGGGAGGCGTTGTGGCTGTGAAGAAACAGCATCGGCTCCATTATTATCGTTTGGTCTCTGGCCGAGGGGGGCGACGCGCGGGGAGCGCGACGCCCCGGGCCCTGCCCGCCCCGCACGTCCTCTGCGCTGCTGGCGTCGGCCGCGCATCCGTCGGTCGCCGTGCGCCACGGCGGGCGCGGGCGCGGCGCGCGCGAGCGCGGGGGCTGCATCACGCGTTCGCTTTCGCCCCGGCGCATTCGGTTGGCATGTCTGCGTGTTCGGGCGATGTCGAGGGCTTGTCGCAGCGATTGGTCAAGGCCGGCGTGCCAGGCGCCCCCGCTTGGGCGCGCGCCCTGGCCCGGGTGCATCCGCGCGCGCAGGTGGCAATATCGTCGCGGGCCGTATCGCAATCTGCTTTTCGCGAACGGCTTCGAGCACGTTGTCTGATGGGGCGCGGTCTGGGGACGCGTAAATGGTTTCGCTGGCGCCCCCGCAGCCGCCCAGGAGAGGCTGCGGGAAATCGCGGCGAGAAAGCCGCAGCCGCCCCTGGCCCGCCGCCGCTGGGCGCGGCAGGGTTTTCGCGGCCGCCTCGCGGACCGCCGCCAGCGCCTCGCGGACCGCCACCAGCGCCGTCCCGCGCGATGGATGAACCAGCGCCTGCGCGTGCTGCTGTTGCTCGCGCCCGAGCGGCGGCCCAGGCGCGCTGGCGCCGGATGCTGCGGGCGACAGCGCAGCGAGGCATGAGCTTGCTCGCGCCTACAGAGCCGCGCTCGCCGCGCAATTGTCGCCCGCGCCCACGGGCGGCCCGCGCAAGTCCATCGCGCGCGGCGATCGCGGGGTCCCGGCGCGCGAGCGGTGGCAATCGCTGGGTCGGCGCCGCGCCCCTTCGGTTCCTGGAGGGCATCGGTCCGGGCGTGGATGGCTTTCGCGCGGCGTCGACTCAACAGCGACGGCTGCAGCGCGCTGCCGCCGTCGGCCGACGAAGCGTGCTCGTTTGCGCCCGAGTTTCGCAGCCCGCGCACCTTCGGCAAATGCGCGGCACAGTTTAAGTACGCATGCCAGCTGCTGGGCCGGGACGCGTCTGCCTTCACGCATCCACTGGTCAGGGGGGCCCGCGAGGCCATCGGGGAGCGGCACGCTATGAGGCGGCCGCCGAAGCCTTTCGTGCTGCAGTCGCATTGACCGGCAATGCTCGATTCTGTGAGCACCGACAGCGCCCTGCGCGCACTATTCTTGCCGTCCTGGGGGTTCGCTGTGCGCGTGCCCTCCGAGGCCCCCTTGGTTGAGCGAGGCGACCCGCTGGCGTTTGAGAGCTTCGCCTTCTCAGACCAGGACCTGCGCAGGCCAAGGGCAAGAGCCGTTACATTCTTTTCGGGCGACTCGGCGACGCTGCATTTCTCACGGCGCAAGCACCGCGACGGCCCGACAGTCGCGGTGCGGAAGTGCTGGCGCGCACGCTCGCAAGCGACGTGCATAGTGCACGCAGCGCGGGCATTTTTCGAGAGCATTTGCGTCGGCTCGCCCGCGTTCCCGCATCTGCGGCGAGTCGACAGCAACGGGGTCGTCTCAATCGCCGCGCGCCTGTGCAGCGCGCGATGAAGGCGGCGGCGTCGTACGCCGGGGCGCCGAGCGCGGCGCCCTTCACGAGCAAGGCGTTCCGCCGCGGGCACGCAGAGACGATGCGCAGGTGCAACGGCCGCCTTTCTGAAATTTTCCGCGATGCCGATTGGAGCTCTCGCGCTTTCAAAGAATATCTAGATATGCACAAGCACGAGGGCGACGCGACCGCCGAAGCGGCGGCCGCCGCATCATGCCCGAGCGCCAGCGCAAGGCGCAGACCAGATTCTGCAACGGTGCCTGCGGGGCAAGTCGAACAGGCGCACGCTCGGCGCGCGCGGCGACCTGCACCCGTGGTTCCACTGGGTCGCGGCAGGCGTGGCGCGCCCTGGCCATGGCGGGCCTGGGCGCCGGCAGCGTTGGGTTCAACGCCCAGGCTGGCCCTGTCGGGGACAGCGCGCGTCGCCGCCTGCGCCCCCCACGCGGGGTGCTAGCGGGGCGGCGTCCCTGGCTCGGTCGCCGCGCCCATCGCTGGGGCATTGCGCCCGAGGTCGAGCACGCGAGGTTGGTCCGCCGAGATTTGTGGAGGGCGCGCACCTGCAGGGCGCTGCGCGGGCACAAATCGCAGGTCGGCCGACGGGCCCCGCGGCGCCGCGGCGCGTGCGACGCGCGACGCATGCAGCCTGACCGCGGGGCGCGCCGCCCGCGCTCGGTGGTTTGTGCTTCTGCGTCGTCACGCGCGGGCCTGCCGCGGGCGCTCGCGCAGGCGCGCCGCGGGGGTCGCGCCGGGGCGGGTCGCGGCGCGCCCTGGCGCCGTCTGCTTCGCCGGTTTCGCATTATTGCTTCGCGCCGCGCTCGCGGGGCGCTCGCCCGCGGCGCGGGCCCGACGGCCGTTCTGCCCCGCCCGCCCGCTCCTGGATGCGGGGCTGCCTCGGTGACAGACCGTTTCCGCCTCGCCCGCCCGCCCTTGGGGTTCAACGCCTAGGCTGGCCTGGTCGGGGACAGCGCGCGTCACTGCCTGCGCCCCCCACGCGGGGTGCTAGCGGGGCGGCGTCCCTGGCTCGGTCGCCGCACCCATCAGTGGGGCGTTGCGCCCGAGGTCGGGTGCGCGAGGTTGGTCCGCTGAGATTTTTGACAGGGATGATGCCCACCCAACAAGTCATACCGTTTTAGGTTCGCAAGCAAAGAATGGTCCCCCAACAGAAAATCGGCCCCGAATGTTTTCGAGCCTCGAGGCATGCCTCGAGGGGCCGCGGGATCGTCGTCACATGCCGCCCGTGACGCGTCGCTCACAGGGGCAGCGGGCCTCACGGGCCGCTTGAAACGTGCTTCGGGAGCGCTTGCATTAGATGTTTTGATTCCGGCGGAAGGTGACTGAGAGGTTACCCCCAGGGGCGCGAAGATAACTGCTTCTCGCATCGCGGACTGGGTTGCCCGCGAGCCCTTCTCCGAGGCGGCGGCGCGAGGGCGCAAACATCACCGCGCGTCGCGCACCGTGGGTCGCGATGCGCGAAGTTAGCCGACCTAGTTTACTGTGGTTTCTGGTGCTTTGCCCGTGGGCGCCTCGTGGGCGCTCCGTGCTGGCTGGTGTTCCTGAGTTGATGGGGGTGTTCTCCGCCACCACCACCATGAGTTGGAGGAGGAGAAGAGGGAGGAAAAGGAAGAGGAGGAGGCGGAGGAGGAGGAGGAGGAGGAGGAGGAGGGCCCCGTCCCCCTCCAACTTCTGGTGGTGGTTGTGGAAAACAAGCCCATCAAAAACTGCCGTGTGATGATCTTCCGTTGCGCATGCAGCCGTGGAGTTGGGTGGTGCCGGTTCTCTCGAATCTCAAAGTGGTTGTCCTGAGTAGGCCCTTTTCTACCCCAGGCTGCACGTCGTTTCTTCTCTTTGTTATTGTTGGAAGAGAGAAACAGTTTCTTCGGGGCATGCAGCAGACTTCCGCTTTCACGCGTGCGTGCTTGCCTTTAAGAAGCATGTTGCACTTCAGTATTTTTTGTAGAGCAGTCGGAGGTCACTGCTGGCAACGGAGTGGGTGGCGCCCAGCGCAAGCTGGGGGCCGCGGGCGGCGCGCCAGCGTTCAGCCCCTAACGCCGCTCCGGTCGACCGTGACTGCGGGTCCTTGCTCGACCGCAGCGTTTGCAAAGCTGCTCTGCTGGGAATGGCATCCAGACCTGGGCCAATGTGCTCCACCACGCAATTTTGCAGGATGTTCTATCCCTGCAAATTCAAACGTTGATGCCGAGGTCAGACGACGCACCGTGCCGAGTTCGGGACGTTCCAATTGGTGGCCGGTGCCCTAGAACCACCCTTATGGCACCTGGCGTCCGCTGGATAAGCTGGCCTGTTTGCCGTTTGCGTTTCGTGGGCCTGGTCGGGCCATTCGCGGCGCGTTTCTTGTTCGAAGTTTCCCAAGAGCTCAGTTGAGTGGTTTGTTAAACGTCCGCGTCACAGTCCCCTAAGCGCTCCTGGACGTGCATCGCTACCACAGGTTCGCAGGACCAGTTAAAGTCGTTTAAGTGGGGCGCCCGTTTCCATTTCTTTTTTCTGCAAACGCGCCCACCACCCGTGTTGGTTTTCTCACGCGCTTAACTCAGGCAGCTGGACCCTTGAGCTGCCGAGTGTTTCCTGCACGCGGGGTTCTGGTGACCTCCTGTTTCGGGTGGGCCCACGTCCGACGACTTGAGTAGGGTTTCGCCTCATGCTGTGCGCTTATGAGCTTTCTCTCAGGCGCTGTCTCCTTTCAGGCGTTTGCAGCTACTTTGTTCGGATTATCTTTTCCATTTAAATTCTAAACGCCCCTACTGTGAGTAGGCCACCGCTGCTGGCTGCGTGTAAAAAAGCCCTCCTTGGAGCATGCAGCATTTAATTCTGAAGTGTCATTTCTCTACGTAGAGAGTGCAGGTTGTCAGTCAGCTCTTCCCTCCCAAATTTTAATTTTTTGGTGTGCGGGGTAGGCGGAGGTCACTGCTGGCAACGGAGTGAGCGGCGCCCGGTCGCAGGCTGGGGGCCGCGGGCGGCGCGCCAGCGTTCACCCCCTAACGCCGCTCTGGACGGCCGTGGTTTCGGGTCCTTGCCCGACCGCAGCGTCGACAAAGCTGCTCTGCTGGGACTGGCATCCAGAGCCTGGGCCGATGTGCTCCACAACGCAATTCTGCAGGATGTCCTATCCCTGCAAATTCAAACGTTGTTGCCGAGGTCAGGCGACGCACCGTGCCGAGGTCGGGACGTGCCAATTGTGGTGGCCGCTGCCCTAGGACCACCCTTATGGCATCTGGCTTCCGTTGGATAAGCTGGCCTGTCTGCCGTTTGCGCTTCGTGGGCCTGGTCGGGCCACTCGCGGCGCGTTTCTTGCTCGAAGTTTCCCAAGAGCTCAGTTGAGCGGGATTGTGAAACGTCCGTGTCACAGTCCTCCAAGCGCTCTTCGATGGGCCTCGCTACTGCATGTTCGCAAGCCCAGTTTACGTTGGTCAAGTGGGGTGCCCGTTTTCACCTCCCGTCCGTTCAAACGCGCCCACCACCCGTGTTGATTTTCTCACGCGCTTCACTCAGGCAGCTGGACCCTTGAGCTGCCGAGAGTCTGCCTGCCCGCGGGGTGATGACTTGACCTCCTTTCAGCTGGGCCCAGGTCCGACGACTTGAGTAGGCGTTCGCCTCATGCTGTGTGCTTATGTTTTTTCTTTCTGAGGCACCGTGTCTTCTTAGGCGGTGGACGCTGATTCGTTGGGGTGGTCTATTCGTGAGGATGCTCTATTCCTTTCAGCGCCCCTTCCATGAGTAGGCCACCGCTGCTGGCTGCGTGTGAAAAAGCAAACCTCCTTGGGGCATGCCGCATTCAATTGTGAGGCGTCGTTCCTTTACCTAGAGAGTTCGAATCATCAGGCAGCTCTTCTTTCCCAATTTGGAATCCACCGCCCCTCTGGTCTGAGGCAGTTGTATAGGAGGGGGAACAGAGGACAGAGAGTTTGCACAGTTTGGAGGAATTCTTGAATTCAGTATGGATCGGGCTTGATGCGCCTCGAAGAAAGCGCGCGCACCCGAATCGCAATCATATGGCGATATGCGGACCCAGGACAGTTTGCTTCCCGTCGTCGTCCTCTCCCTTGCTCGGTTCCCCTTCCTTTCTTCCCTCCCCTGGATAGTGTCGAAAGCGTCCGCGGCTCGGGCGGGGGAGCGCCCCTTCCCACCTCCCTCATTATTCCCAGTTCCTCTTCGCCTCCCTGCTCCACCGTCCGTCGTCCTACCTCGTCTTCCATCCGTGTTCGAAAAGTGAAGTCCCTGGTGCCGCGTGCCCGTATCAGCGGTCTATCGCCTTTTCGATATCCGAGCACAGCGGCGCAACCAAACAGAGGCGATGGACAATGCGAGCGTTCGGGGCGCACTCCAAGCGCGGGCGGCACGGCCGCCGAGCACAGTCGCATCGCTAACATGTAAATTATAGATGCCTGCGGCAAGGTCGGGCCCCTTGCCAAAGCAACGGTCTGCATGGCGACGCGTGGAGCTTTGACTGTTCAGAGGTCCATGACATGTGGCACTTCTCTTGTTCTCGGACTGCTGTGCGGCATTCTTTGGGGTCCTTCGAGGCCATTCGGTGCGTTTTCGGGCCGTTGGGGGCCGCCTTGGTGCCGCGTTTCACCGCGGCCGCCCTGGGCCAGGGAAGCGCGCATTTGCAGCTCCCTCGGGGGCGCCTTGGGCCGGGGAGCTGTGTATTTGCATCCCCCCCCAACTGGGCATGTCGACCTCGGTTTTGGGTCGGCAATGTCGGGGCACCCTCGAGGTGGCGAGCGTTCACTTTTGCGAAATGCACAGGTCAAGGTGTGATCTGTGTACACAGCTTGTGTCTTCAACTGTATATCCGTAAGGGCTTCGCCCCCTGCCGCCGGCCCCCTCTCTCGGAGAATGGGCCATGGAAGAGCTAAGTCATGAGGGCATGGCGCTGTCGTGAAGCAGTATCGAAACTTCATGCGAAGCCGATTCGCAATCAGCAAAACCAACTGATCACAAGAGGGGTTACTTCACCTGGCGATTGGTAAGACGTGTATGGTTTACGGGCTTGGTTACCACACCTTGCGATTAAAGGGCCGAAGGAGTTCTCGCAGTTTGGGTTACCACGCCTTGCGATGGATGTGCGTGAGGGGTGGCACCGAATTTCAGAAATGTGGCAATTCCGCTGTGTTTTTGGACCTTGACCCCGCAGATCTGCGTAAGGAGTGGCGCCGGATTTCAGAAATGTGGCAATTCCCATGTGTTTTTGGACCCTGACCCCGTGGATCTGCGTGAGGGGTGGCACCGAATTTCAGAAATGTGGCAAATCCCCTGTGTTTTTGGACCCGCGGATCTGCGTGAGGGGTGGCACCGAATTTCAAACATGTGGCAAATCCCGGGTGTTTTTGGACCCTGACCCCGCGGATCTGCGTGAGGGGTGGCGCCGGATTGCAGAAATGTGGCAAATCCCCTGTGTTTTTAAACCCTGACCCCGCGGATCTGCGTGAGGGGTGGCGCCGAATTTCAGAAATGTGGCAAATCCCCTATGTTTTTGGACCCTGACCCCGCGGATCTGCGTGAGGGTGGCACCGAATTTCAGAAATGTGGCAAATCCCGTGTGTTTTTTGACCCTGACCCCGCGGATCTGCGTAAGGGGTGGCACCGAATTTCAGAAATGTAGCAAATCCCATGTGTTTTTGGACCCTGACCCCGCGGATCTGCGTGAGGGGTGTCGATTTCGAGCCCCCCCAGCAATTCAGACAACGCGCCCAGGGAACGCTAAAAAGCCACTTTGGGCCTCCCCCCCCTCGCGCATTCAATCAACTAGTTACAGTAACCAGCAATAAGTCAACGAGTTACAGTAACCAGCAAGAAACAGAACTGTAACACTGGAAACTACAACCTACGACTGGTACAGGAAACCGCGAATCACGGGCCTGCAGCCTGGTGGCCCCACAAGGGGGCCGGCGGATTTTCGTGTGTGGGGGGCCACTGTTTACACAGAGCGTGGTGTGATCGATGTACACCGATTTCGTTCCCATCTGTGTATTTGGAGTGTGCGCCTCGCGGGTGGTGTTGACTGGGCGGGAACTTTCACGTTTCTCCTTCGGCTGGCCCAGGGAGGACGTCGCACGCGGTCGCAATACACAGCTCATGTTTCCAACTGTGCATTTGTTGCGCGCCGTTCGTTGGAGTGGCCACTGGGTGGGAGTTTCCGCGGGTCTCCCGGCTGGTCCAGGAGGGGGCAGTGGTCTGAGCATGCAAAGGCACGGGGGGGTGGGGATGGTGGGCTGTGGGAAGGAAGGGGCTCGATAGGGGGGGTGGCCAAGGGGCGAGGGATGAACGGGACTGGACGAGAGGGGAGGAAACGGGCCCAGGAGGAGCTGCATCATCGGCGTCAGCATCACGAGGACGAGAGAGGCGGGGGGGGGGGCAGAAGGAGGGGGCATGATGTGCACTAGGGCGTAGAGGATGGGAGGAGGGCCGGCATGTGGACGATGCGGGGGCGAATCTGGCGGAGGAGGACGACGAGGAACGACATGAATTGGCACATGGGGGGTGACAGTGTGGATGATGGGCATGATGAGGACCGGGGGTTATCGGAGGGACATGAGTCGAGAGGGCCCGAAGCGAAGGGATATTGGGAGGCGGCGGGGGATGGGGCATGAGTTTGAGGCGGGCGCCAGCTAACGATTAGCTGAGCCGTGTTCTGCGTGTCCGTGCACCCCCCCAGACAGAACACAGTGACCGGTTGCAGAACTTCATGATCTGGGTAATCGTGCGCTTCGTGCTTCCAGGCCAACGGCTCGAGTCCACGACGCCCATTGGCGTCGCGTTGATGCCGTCCCGATTTGCCAGACCGCATATGCACAGATAGCAACGTTTCAACGTTTGTTTCATTACCCTTTCTATAGTAACGAACCCACGTTGGAAACCAACTCCCAACATGTTTTTTTGTGGAGTAGGCGGGTCACTGCAGTCATTGTGGACACGGCCATCGCCCAGGGCGGCGCCGATCGGGAGCTCGAGAAGAAGAGGAAGCGGAACAGGTTCAGGGAGCTCCAGCCCGTTATGTCCGAACTCTTCCGGGACCCTGATCGGGGCGAAAATCCGACGATAAAATCACGCCGATGTTCATGCAAATCTCGCCGTTTGCACCTGCTCGGGGGCCCCATGCAGTCGGATTCCTCGGCGTTGCGAGCCGGATTGAACCTGGAGCCCTGGTCAGAACGCACCCCGGAGAAGGTAAGGAAAAAACGATGTTGGTACAGTCGACGCGCTGACGTAGGTAAGATTTGGGCTCAGGAGGGGCTCTGGTTTGTGGGCCAGCCCGTCGGATTGTTGAAATCATTCGTGGCAGAGGCTCGCCGTGGCCGGGACATCCACCTCGTTCGTTGTGCATCGCTTTTCGTGGTAGCAGGATGTTTGTGCTTGCGCTCCACTGCAAGGAGCTCGATTGGAGCGGAGATGGCAAGGTCAGCATGCACGAGTTCAGGTCCGGGCTGGACGCCTCGAACACCAAGAAGCGCCTGCCAGAGGACATCCGTAAGATCCTGGATTCGGACCAGCTCGTAGAAGTGTACGGGTACCTTGACGCGGATGGTTCGGGTGAGATCGACGAAGAAGAATTCATCGACGGAATCTTCAGCTTGATGTTCCAGTCCGTCCCCATCGAGACCACCCAGATGTTGCAGCTGCTGCGTTCGCAAAGTGATGCGCTGCATAGGTCCACCGCCAGAATACATCTATTTCCTCTGCCTCGGGGTCGTGCCTCGGGTCCCGACGAGGACCTTTGGAGAAGTGGTGGGCATGAATATGCAGTTTTCAACACTTTTCCTGATGCCTGGAAGTATCCATGCCCACCGTTCGTCAAGGACCCACGGTATGGCTCCAGCAGTTCTGGGCGTGGATGTCCCCTGGCGGTGCTGCAGGATCCAGCGGAGGATACCTTCTGTCAGCGTTTCCAAGGGCAGCAGCCGACGTCCGACGCAGACGCCTACTGCCTGCTCTCAGCAACCCTCCTCGCTCTTCCCCGCTCCCACTGTCCTGACATTGTAGGTCTCCACTCCGCGCCTCGCGGCACGGTGGCCGATCGCTGCTCTTTTCCAGGCCTCCCAGAGTCCAGTCAACATTGATGGTAAGGATGATCAAATTCCCTGCCTCTTCGGTCATCTTCGATCCATCCTCAACCACTTTCGATGGCCAGCCCCGCTCGAAGAGCTTCGGCATGGGCGTCCAAGGACCTTGCACCCTTCTCGTGCATCCTTACTGTCAGTTTTGACTGTAGATGGGGTCAGAGGATCGCGGCTCGATGTGGATCCCGATTTTCTCCACGCTGACCGCGCCGATGCATCGCAGGCGTTGTCGATGCATCGCCTATGCATCGGTGATGTGTCGGCGATGCGGCGCGATCTTCCGACCCCAGGTATTCCGACCTCACTTGGGAGGCTTTTAGTCCCTGGTACGTCTCCGGTCCCAGACCTCTAACGTTGATTTTTTCTCATCGTCGGCGTCCAGAGGCCTCGACCCCAATACCAAAGGCCAGTTGTTCATCCCGAGTCGTTGTTTGATGGTCAGAGGGCCCCGGGCACCGCAAGTACGAGAGACATAAAACATAACATTCGCCTGGCGACGTACCCAACCCATGTGCAAGTAGTGATCAGAACGACGGGTCTAAGTCGTCACGGAAGATGACGCGATAAGGGGCCCGATTTGTTGCGAAAGGTAAGTGGGAATTTGCGCGCTGCACGACTCACAGGGCAACAGAAAGGGCATGAGAAGGAGAGGACGGACAGACAGTGGCGACCGCGAGCGGGAACGAGGGTAGAGAAAAGGTCACGATCCGAAGAAGATATGAAGCCCTTAGAGTAGGAGTCCAGGCGATGAATTAAGGACCGCTGCGGGCTCAGGAGGGGCTCGGATTTTCGGACGGTTCCTCATATCCACGGTCTTACGCCGCACCGCCGACCCCTGTGGGGCCAAGTTGCGCGGCTAGCAAGAAGCTGCGAACAGGGAACCTTCAGGGGCTGTTTGGAGGCCTCTCGGCGGTTTCTGGGCCCACGTTCGTCTCAGGGCACTTAGCTTGCAGTACTTGACCGTCTTAGGGGCCTCGTGGGTCGATCTGGGGCCCAAATGGGCTGTCGGGGGGTACCTCTTGGCGGCGTCGCGGTCCGTCATGGGGCGATATTGGGAGCTTCGGAGGCCATCGCAGACTCTTTCTGGACCCAACCAGGGAGTCGCTACCCATGCGCGCTTTCCAGGCGATTGAGACTATGCTTGCCTCTTGGCTGTCCTCTTGGATCCGTGTTGGGGCGTTGTGGGGACCTGAGCAAGAGGACGCACCAAAGGGACTCCTTAGATTTATTTCGTGGAAACTGTCTGTGCCCCAGGCCAGCCGTGGCCAGAAACGCCCCTTCGACCCTGATTCTCTGTTTCTCATAGTAGCACGATGGTTGTACGATTTGAGAGAGGAGAGGCGGGAGTCTGGAGGAGAGCGGGGAGAAGATAGCAAACGGACAGTTGCGATAGTTGCGCAGCTTGCGGCCCCTCAGGGACGGCGAGGTTGAATCCTGATGCGTGTTGAGCAGTATATACGTTGCTGCCACTCCCCCAGGAACCCACGAGCATGGCGGTAGTTTAACAGTTCGCAGTCCCCAGGGACGGTAAGGTTTCATTCGGGTTTGGGTATGACGTCGCTCTGCTGGACCTCCAAGCAACTCACGACAGTGGCGACAATTGCGAAGTTGCCCAGATGGGCCAAGTTTAAATTGGTTCTGATTAAGGCACCACTCCGCTGGACCTCCCGGGATCTCACCACAGCGGAACAAACACTTCTCAACCGGCACCCACCCGAGGGCGGCGAGGTTTAATCCAGCTGCCTGCGGTAAATCCCGCCACTGTGCCTGTGCAACAGCGTAGCAAGAATGAGGCTGAGTGTAGGAGGTTGAATACAGGAACAGCGCAATTCCGACGAGTAATCTGGCTTGGGGCGGGTTGTGATCCCGACCTCGTCTTCGTCCGCGCTGTAGGGAGGAGGAGGAGGAGGAAGAGGAGGAGGAGGAGGAGGAGGAGGAGGAATGATGATGATGATGATGATGATGATGATGATGATGATGATGATGATGATGATGATGATGATGATGATGGTGATGATACTGATGGTGGTTTGTGATGATGATGTTGATGATGGTGATAATACTGGTGATGGTGATGATGGTGGTCATGATGATGATGATGATGATGATGATGATGATGATGATGATGATGATGATGATGATGATGAGGAGGAGGAGGAGGAGGAGGAGGAGGAGGAATATGGGGAGGATGAAGAAGAGGAGGAGGAGGAAAGAGGGAGGAGGAGGAGGAGGAGGATAAGAGGGAGAAACTGAGGATGAGGATGGGGAGGCTTGGGGCCTTCTTGGGGGCCTCCTGGGGGCTTCCTGGGAGCTTCCTGAAAGCTTCTCAGGAGCATCTCGGGGGCCTCTTGGGGCCCCTTGGGCAGTCTTAGGGGATTCTTTGGCCGTCTGACGCCTTCCTGGGCAGTGTTGGTGCCCTCTTGGAGTGGTTCACGGTCGTCTCGGGGCCCTCTTGGGAGCCCTCTGGGTGATTTTTCCCTACATCCTGAGTGGGGTTTTTTGTTTTCCCAGAACATCCTCTCCTTCTCCCTCCCGCCTCCCGCCTCCCATATCAATACCATTTCCACCCCTCCAGGGAGGCCCCGCCTGAGCGAGGAGGGTATCGGAAAACCATACTATTTACATGGTTTCGTGCCCTTCCCACCTCTCCAGGGAGGCCCCGCCTCAGCGAGGAGGGTATCGGACAACCATACTATTTACATGGTTTCGTGCCCTTCCCACCCCTCCAGGGAGGCCCCGCCTGAGCGAGGAGGGCTTCGGAAAACCATACTATTTACATGGTGTCGTGCCCTTCCCACCTCTCCAGGGAGGCCCCGCCTCAGCGAGGAGGGTATCCGAAAACCCATACTGTTTACATGGTTTCGTGCCCCTCCCACCCCTCCAGGGAGGCCCCGCCTGAGCGAGGAGAGCATCGGAAACCCATACGATTTACATGGTTTCGTGCCCCTCCCACCTCTCCAGGGAGGCCCCGTCTGTGCGAGGAGGGTATCGGAAACCCATACTATTTATATGGCTTCGTGCTTCCCCACATCCTGACTGGCCCACCCCTCCAGAGAGGCCCCGCCTGAACGAGGAGGGTATCGGATACCCATGCTATGTATATGATTTCGTGCCCCTCCCACCCCTCCAGGGAGGCCCCGTCTGAGCGAAGAGGTCGCTAATTCGTGTCGTTCGCCGACTTGCACAACCCCGACTAGTTCCTGAGCTGTGATTTGCCATCTTCCTGTTGCGCTTTCGGCCGTATGGGGGCGTTCGCACGTGCTGCAGCAAGGGTAGCAGAACGTGCTGGTGGTGACTTGTTGCCGACGCCATCTGGTACAAGCCTGCCCCGGTCAATCCTTCTCAGGACTTCGAGGGAGGAGGAGGAGGAGGGGGAAGAGAAAGGGGAGGTAGAGGAATAACAAGCAGAGGAAGAGAAAGGGGGAGGTGGAGGAGGAGGAGGAGGGGTACATGCGTGCCGAATCGATTGTAATCCATACTTCAGGGCCAGCCTTTTTAGGGCCCGCCTGAGAAAGACGGCGACGCCGACGCTGCCGACGACGACTACGACACCGACGAGGGCGAAGACAGGAGGGGGAGGAGGAGGAGGAGGAGGAGGAGGAGGATGAGGAGGAGGAGGAGGAGGAGGGGGAGGGGGGGGCGGAGGAGGATGAGGCGGAGGAAGGACGAAGAAACATATACCACCCAGACCAACCTCACGAATCGGACCTTGGGCGCCTGGGCGACCCACCCGCCCGCCCGACCGTCCTCCTTCTCATGTGCGTACTCTTGGCCATCGCCCCGCTGCTGCTCCTGCTGCGGTTCCTGCTGCTGCTCTTCATCATCATCCATCCTATCCTCTTCCTCCTCCTCCTCCTCCTCCTCCTCCAGGAGGGTTTCGGAAAACAATGCAGTTTACACTGTTTCGTGTCCCCCCTTCCACTCTTCCAGAGAGGCCGCGCTTGAACGAGGGTCGCGGAAAGCATTGCTCCTTACCAGGTGTCGCAGCCCCCCCCCCCCCCTTCCAGCGGGGCCCCGCCAGAGCGAGGAGGGCATTCAGAAACCGTACTATTTACAAGGCTTCGTTTCCTGAGCACCTGTCCTCCCTCCTCCTTTCTTTCGTTTGCCCTTTCGTGCGTATTTACTCGTTCGATGAGCTTTTCCTTCGTGTTGATGTTGTCGTACCCCATGGGTCCCACGAAACCGTTAATATCTTTAGGTGGGGAATTCCGCTTGCATATTTTGATTTGTTAGGCCGGCTTGAGGCCTTCTGTAGGGTATCGTGGGCTGGCTTGGAGCTACCTCGGAGGCTTCTTGGAGGCTTATTGGGCCGTCTTGGGAGATCAGAAGCGTGAGCAAGGGAAAACCTCAGCACCTTCTCAATACCGGACGAAAATCAATTGTGTGTGCTTCCTCGGGCTCTCCAAGAGAGCCTCTTGGAGCCTTGTTGGGCCGTCTTGGTGGTTTCTTGATATGTCTTGACGCTGTCTTGGAAGCCTCTTGAGCCGTTTCGCGCAATATTTGTGCCATCTTGGCTGCCGTGAAAGCCATCTTGGAGGCCATCAGGCTTCCAAGACGGCCTCAAGACAGATCAATCGTCCCCAAGCTGGAG